GATGTCGATGGAGCCCGTGCGATGCTACGGGCTGTCCGAACCATGGATCGTAGAGCTCAAGAAGCCGCACTCATGTCCTCAGTGGAAGAAAGCTAATGTTTAATGTTTATTACTTCAAGGGGGGGGGGGGGATATGTCGTATGGAAACTTCTTACCTAATTTTGAAAGAAATTTCATATCAATATAGCCTACTCAGTGCTCATGCTCAACAACCGAATGTAGCGAAGTAAAATAAAATAAAATTGGTGCCTACTTAGTGTTATCCAAAAATTGTAGTCCCACGCTAGAGAAAAAGCTCACATAAATAGCTGTTTAAAACCAAGTAGTGGCCTAAGAATTGAAACATTTTGTGTGCTTTCAGAGTTGATGACTTGCTAACATTCCTCTATTATCTAATTTCTGGCCACATTACTCGCATGATGAAGACAGAGTGACTTTGCTTCAGTTAGCTACGTTGCTTGATTGGATCTTCCGATCTGTGTTGGCATTAGCAAACTTTTCATAAGTGTTGTGAATAAGCGAAACACATTTTGTAAGAAATGTAGTTATGTCTTAAGAACCTGATGCATGTTGGTTCCGACGAATAGTCAGAAACCCAGTTATAGTTTTAATCCAGTGAAGTGTTCAATATGAAAAAGCTAAGCTCATATCACGTAGTGTGGCCATGATGTTGAGCGATACTACTAATTCATAAGTGAGGCTAGCAAAATACACCGGAGACTAATGAACTTAACCTGTGGACTCATGAACTAAACCATATAGTAATATCAAACTAAAGCATGAAGTATGTCAGCCATGAAGAGATGTCATTTTTTCACCTATCTCAATTAGAGTACTCCCTGGTGTTTTCATCAGCTTCCTGCTCTTGGCCTCTTTCCTCAACAAAGCTGCTTCAGAGTACTGCTAATTTGTTGTGTATAGATTGGAGAGCAGCAGGTAGTAGCCAGTGTAGACACATCATCAGAAACACAAACAAACAGACAATGCTATGTGTGTCTCACCCAAATCACACAATGCAGCTGCTCCAGCGCCGCCGCTGTCTCCCATGCCCCTCGGATTGCAGTTCCCAGTATTGTAGGTGCCACAAAATGCAATGATCCGCTGGAACATGGACCGTTTCATTAAACATTAATCAAACATAGATGGTCAAGCCAAATGTAGGTGGCTGGGTTGTTTCTTAGCAACTAATCTGCAAGAACATATTAAAAAAAAGATCAATAAATACACCTCAATGTGCAAATGTTGATTCTTGAACAATTAAGATTGAAACAGAAGTTACTATCAGGATGAGTTTGCAAACATCAATTGGTTGGCAAGTAACGTCAATTGCTTATCATCCATTGATATGCGTGTCTTGTCATATGCAGATTTTACCTAGCCATATTACACACAGCAAGGGAAGCTTAAGATATAAACTGTAGGCAAGGAAGATGAAGCACCACAACCACATTTCTTGATCGCCTAACTTTCTTCATAGGTGTCACTACCAGAAAAAACCTACACACACAAAAATCAACACGCTGCTACATGGCAGCCGTCATGTCCACGCAGCCATGGATGCTCCAGATCTCAGGCTCACTTCACGTACCTCCTGCTTAACCGTGCAATTGCAGCGCCAGCCAGGCAGCATGACACTGCCAACACGCGCTGGTGATCAGCATCAGGGTGAACTCGCCGTCAACAAAATGATCTTTCCCCTGTTCTTTCAGCGGGAGGTATACTTTCCCAAAACTGAACATCCGGACTTCTCATGACAAAATACTTGAACCCACACAAGGATTAATTTTTGGACTTCATTGGCGCATGCATACATGTTATTTTTCGTCAAGTAGCTGGGGGAATGAGGTTCCTTTAATCTGAATAAGAAAAATACAAAAGTTGTTTATCACTCTATCCAATTTTTCACCACAACTATATGGTTCCTGTAGGTTCGGATTTATTCTGAAAAATAGTAGCATCATTATTAGCAACGTTCAGTAGCTCATTGCCTCTATATGAATTGGCCTTTTGGATATGTGATTCCGCTCTTTAAAATTTATTCACCATAACCCTCGTACAATGTGTGAGAAATCTGAAAAAATATTTTTAGACCTTGAGAAGCATATTAACAAATAGGTGGCTAGCACAAACTTGCAAAACAGGACATATGAGAGAGAGAAAATGTTTAGACCTTGAGAAGCATATTAACAAATAGGTGGCCAGCACAAACTTGCAAAACATAGCATACTGTATGAGAGAGAGAGATGGGGCTGCAGCGTTCGCTACACATGAATATTTCTTGTGGACATTCTATCAAACAGATGTCCTACAACTTGATGCAAAAACAAATCTCTTATGGCTGGGTAGAATAACGAACCAAAGGAGCAACCGGAGCTTTCACCAGCAGTAGATGGGGAGGAGGAGCTGCGCTCGTCACTGGTTTGGAGCCGGGAGGTGTGTATGCCAACGTGGCCGGGGCGGTGCGACACTGGGAGTTGAGCCGGGAGGAGTTGCGTGGAAAGGAGGAGGCGAGGGGCGCGTGTCCGGAGGCAGCGCACATCGCCTGCGGCATTAGCCGCGAGGAGGCGCGGGGTGGGGCGATTGGCCGGGGTGGCTAGGGGTCAGGGCAGGGAGACGATGGGTAGGTGGGGGATGGACCAGTACGGGGTTGGGGATTTGGGTTGGGTCTTCTTTTCTTCCGCCACGAAACGTTGTTTTACTTACCACGGGCAATGGGGGGTAACTTTTTCCAACTTCAAGGGCAATTTGATGACGGACGGGCAGAAGCCTAGTCCCTTTATTAGTAGGTATAGATATGTTATCTTGGCAACATATACTGCAGTTGCATGGAGCAGAGTGGAAGATAAATACCAAAAAGAAAGAAGAGAAAAACCTGCCAGTAATTGTAATATTATTGGCTTATTTGATAAACAGTGAAATGTATGCTTGGTCACTATTGTTAAAATACCATGCTATAATGTGCTGCAAGCCTGCAACTTTGCAGAATGTAACTAAAACACTTTGAAGGCAAATATGTGTACCTGAAAAGACAACTAAAGAAAGCAAATCTATGTGGAAAGAAATTCCTGTTGAGAGTCAGACATCTTAAGACAGGTTCATCACTGATCCCAGTATCTTAGACCCATCACAAATCTCATTTTGAAGGAGTTCTCTTGGTCATTTGGGTTACCGAGATGTCACCGTAAATCCTGCGAATAGTAGACAGTGTTGTTCAACATGTCGTCCAGGATTAGCCGTTTTGTTTTGCTGGGCAATTTTTTTAGGTGTTGCATTGGGGAATTTTGAGAGTGCCAATTTGGTGCTGTTGATCCTATATCTTGTTTGTTTATTAGAACCCAAGATGGGCACACCTGCAGGGTGCCGGCTATAAGCGTTCATGAGTTGCTAACTGGTTGGCCAGTGATTCAGAAATACACCGATTCGTTGTTTATTTAGCCTTTTGTTCACCATTGATATCTGATTTTACTCCCTTGCACATTGCTTTTAACACCTTTTATTCGTTAACTGAACCGCTTGTTTACTTGTAGAGCTAAATGGCAAACCGATTGTTCCGGGGTTACTTTTTGCTGGAAGCCAGATTACTACACCAGCAACCAACAGAACCTTCTTTCAGCCACGAGCTGTTCCTAGTATTTCACTCAGAAATGTGGGGGTTCCAAATGGATATGCTGGTCTAGACTCTATTTGTGACACCGTGGATACTAACCAACATGAAGTGCCTCAGCAAAAGCAGGTTTCAGTTGACCAGGAGATATTTGAGCCTAGTTCTGAAGTCAACATGTTCTCTGTGGTAAAGCGTTCCAGGTCAAGGCAGCGGCATATTGAAGATCGGTCGCGTGAGAAGGGTCAAGCGACAAATAGTGGAATCAGGGATGTTATGCAAGACATGATGCAGAGGTCTGGTTTTGCAACTGCAGGTTCGAACAAAACAACTGCATCATTATCCTCCAAACCATGTGGTGACGGTGAAAACAATGCTGGAACAACAACCTCTTTGCCAGGTCAGGAGAAAGATTTTTATGCCAGTCAGGATAGATCAACTGAATTCGTCAAGTGCAGTAAAGATGGTGATCTTGGAAATCAAGGAGTTAAGTTAGATTGTTCTCAAAATCAGATTGTCAATTCTGATAATAATGTCAAGGTTTCTGTTAGAAGTTCTTTTGGGGTGCAAGTTACAGGCACTGTGTGCCATGCACTCCCTGAAACTTATCTGTCGGTTGAGCCGAAAAAACTTCAATTCGATGGTGTTGAATCAGTTTGCATGGATCCTGCAAGTGAACAGACGATGCAGCAACCAGTATGTGCCCTGGAAGGTGGCAATCTTGATCTTGCTGAGGTACATCCCTTAAATGAAGACCCATCTTCTACCAGCTATTCTCAAGTTCTTCAGGAGCAACATCTGTTGGTCAGAACATCTTTAGAATTCAAGGAGACCGATGCAGAGACTCCCTTGGGCCCCACTTCACCGGTTACACAAAAGGAGACGCTCAATGGAAAGGCAGCATATGATGCGGTCAACTGCCATTCAGGAAAGCTGGGTGATGTTCAGATAAAATTATCAGCTTTGACCAAAGCATGCAACATTTCTGTCAGCAACAAAAAGGACGAGTCTGCAGTGCCACAAGTTATGAGCAGTGTTTCAGCTAGAAGAACCAGCGAAATGCACTCAACTGAAAGGAACAGTATGACTTCAGCCGAAGATCTGCAACAAAATGGTACCATGCTTGCTATTTGTAGAACATATTTGCTAGTTTTTTTTCTTTGTAGCAAAAGTTATTGGGCCATGTCCTTACATCGTTTCTTATCTTGCAGGAACAGAACAAGACACCTCTCTTATTGAGAATGCTGTTAAAGAAAATGTTAATTCATGTACAGCAGAAAACGATAAACGGAAATCTTCACAACCTTCTGTTCAATACTTCTTACCTAGTGCATCACATGAGAAAAATATTCTACTCGAGTCAGACAGAAGCAGTGTTGCTTGTGACCAGAAGAGGTCAGTACAAGATGGAGTGGAAGTAAGTGATAGTTTGTCATCTAAAAGGAGAAGAATAAGGCACCGATCAGACTTTGACCTTTCTGGGACTCCTTGCACAAATTCATTGCCTCTGAACCACCAACTTGACATTTCTAGCCATATATTAAGTGCGACAAATTTCTCAGAGAAATCCCATCCTTCAGGTCCTTACTTCACAAGGAGTTCAGGATCCTGCAAGAGCATGTCTCTGGTGTCAGAGGGGGGGAATGCTGCAAGTGATGTTTATGGAAATGGGAATTCTTCACGTGGAAGAAGAAATACAACTAGCCTATTAAGTGGCGTCCTTGACAACTCTCCTACCGCAAGCACCAGCAGGAGTGCATTGGAAGGACGGGTCTTCAAAAATTCTCAAGAACAGAAACAAAATAAGTTGGAAGTGGAGTTTCTGACAACTGCTGCTTTGCCTTATTGCTCTGGCATCCTATCTCGTAATGAGGAAAACTGCACACAGCAGGTATGTGCTCAGCAAGTGTACCAGACTACCAGTTCCCTTTCCTCTCTGAAGTTTTTTTTAAACCGAAAGAACCGGTTGTATTTTTTGTTGCAAAATTGTATGTCATGAAAGTAGTAAACTAGTGGTAATGCTCAGTCTGGGTGCATTATTGGTGGAGCCTTTTCTTTGGATGCTTTGGTCTGACAAATTCGAATCCAGTCATGTAGGTTCTCTATTTCCTGTTTTTATTTATGGGATAGCCGATAGGAATATTCATGGGTATATCACCGTTTTGTACTGATGAGTGATTAACATACAAACTAGATTACCCGTTGTGCCAGATGGCGCAAGGCTAAATTCACACCCGGAGTTATTTGTAACAATTTGATTTTGGTAAATTTGGTTTTAGCAATCACTTAGGCTCTAGTACTTGTAACAACATTTTAGTATCTCTTGTAGTTTACACTTTAAGAAAACTCTTGGTCAAATGGCGCAAGGCTTCAATTTAGACCTATAGATATTTGCAGATGAAGGCTTAGCAGTGTGAACAATACTTTGAAGATGGCAAAAAACAAAGACACTTTAATTTAAATAATAAATTTGTGTCTACATGTAAAACTGTGCAAAATCATTCTTTTGAACCAGTTTTAAGGCATGGAATTCAAGCTCCAAAGTAGAACATAGCTGAATAGTAAACGTATAGCAATACTCTACAATAGGAAAACAAATCAAACCATGCAGGGAGTTTTATGTGTTGTAGACAATCCAGTTCACAACCCCCAATTACAAAGAAATTAAATCTAAACACTGAAAGACACGACCAGAAAATTACGTTATGAACAAACAGCCAGCAGGCACCTCAATACAGCACTTGCAGGAATAGGTTACAAATAATTAATTCCTTGTATCTGCCTTGATTCGATAAAAGATTGTCTGAACTAAAGTGTAGTTGTTCTGAAGAATCAATTCCTTGTATCTAGCAAGTTTTTGCCTGGAAGATCGATGACCACCATTGCAAATTCTGCACAGTAGGGTAATGTGTGAGTTAAACTGAAAGATTTGCTGGTGAGTTTCTTAAAAAGGAATGCATAACAGAATATGGAATTTTAAATAATGGGTAAACATCCTTTACCTTCTGTACTTCTCCGTGCTCTGTGAGACTTGGTGTGTGTGTGTTTGTGTGTGAACCTTGTTGGATGTTTGGCTTGGGCGGTTTGCTTCATATATAAAGCGGGGCGAAAGCCTTTTTCGGTAAACATCCTTTAAATTTACTTTCTGAACAAAAGAGGTACTGTTTAGAATAATAAGAAGTAAAGATTGTGGCCATCTATTTTTCCTATTACAAAGATACTGACATGCCACATAAATCTCTTTCTACATATGATGTTCCAAAAATGCATGGGTTACTTATCAGTCCCTTCGTCAATGGAAAGGAACCAGTATAAGGTTTTTTTGGTGATCCGTTTGCACCTAAGATAGATAAACCACATATGCTTAAGATGTCCGTGTATATTTGGAAAAGCACAAAAGCTATGTTTAAAGGGTTAGTGAGAAAAGAATCTTACGTTCTATCACTGGAACATGCAGCGATCCATAAATATATTAGATGTTCTCTGAATCCACTGGTTTAGAGGCAGTTGCTCTACAGGGAGGTGCTCCAGCAAATGATAAAGTTATTTTTCTGTGTCCAGAATTTGATAGCAAACCTGGACCGTACCGAGGAGTAGCATTGGTAGCAACCTTGCAATGCAGTAAAAAAAATCAATTTAGTACAAAATCTATAATGGAAGCTTCAATAATATTTTGTATCAAGGAAATGGTTTATAAAATTTGGCATCCCCTAGATTATTGGAGTACTAAACAATACAATGTAGGGCACTGAGAATTGCATTAACTCGAAGACTGAAACTCATAACGATATGCATGCACTTACTTAATACGTCTCCAATGCCACCTGACTCTGAATGTTTTTTCAAACCTTAGCAACATGTGTGCATAACAGAAATGAAGCTAAGACAGCAACAATAATCAGTTATGTGCTTCTTAGAAATGTTTTCTTACAAAATCATTCCAAGAAGACCAAATATGTAGGAGGACTCCATGTCAACGTTCTGATAATGGGTGAACAAAAGTCTGATGCTACATGCTTCTTATAAACACTATGTTTCTGATTTAGTAGTTTAGAACCCACCTAAAAAATAAAAGCAACACATAAAAACCAGACTATACAATGCAGTTCTAATAAACCAAACAATAAGCAGCAATAAGGAATTAAACAAAACAATAGTGTGGCAATATATTGGAACAGCTAAGGATTAAGTGGTTGTGTGTCTTCTCAGTAAAGTTTCAATGACAGATATTCAACCTGCAATCAGCTATCTGAAATAAATTTAATCCAACGAATCAAACAATCGGATGTACTGTGGATTATCTAAACAGGGCATCATGGACGAGCTGGCCTGTGAAGATCCATCTGAGATGTTGCAGTAAATCAGTCAGAGAAATAAGCCCAAGAACCTTTTAGAGCAGTGAGCGATTTCGTCGGTGAATCTGGAGTGGCAACCTGGTGTTCCTGTACCAAAAAAGAAAAAAGAAAAAAGATGCTATCTGTGTGTGCATATTTTAGGTGAAGTTTCTCCGGAAGAGCTTAATGGCAGTGAACGGAAAATGTATCCATAGATCATTTATTTTCAGTTTATGGAATATGAATTTAGAAATGATAACTGCAGCTATGTTGCCACTATTTTCCAGCGGTTCTGAGAATGACATGGACATGTACAATTGAAAAGGGAAATGGGGTCTCTGGAAGTAAACAAACAATAGAAACACACATGGATAAGAATATTCTTTTTAGCAATTGGCAAACTAACAACAGATCAAGTCACCAAATAAATCTGCAGTACACCGAAACCTTATGATTGGTACAAAACTAAGCAACCGAGAATAGATAAATTAGAATTTCTTATTTATTCTTTGATTCGGCATATGTGGGCTATTCCTTTGGAGATGAGGCATAGAATGTCTTTCATAAAAATCTCAAGATGATGGGACATGTGTTTGCAACTTTACGCTCAGCATCACCTACAGCCCCACGTAGCTGGTGCCTCGGCGGATGCAATCGCCACTGAAAAACATAGCTGTGAAGGAGGTGAGCCCAGAAATAAACGATGAGAGAACATAGGACATAGAAGGTCAACAGAAACTTGCCCTGTCAATCCGGTTGTTGCAAGGACAGTGGCCTATAACTAAAAACAAGAAACCTGCAACCAAGAAAGAGGATAACATGATGGTCAAAAGCATATCCAACCAGGGAAACATAAATAGCGTAGCAAATTGTAATTGGTAACTAATGACTATGTCACTATGGTAACGAGCGTACATTTACCAGGTTGTTAGATACTAATTCCTCTTCCAATCTATATGAATCCTTTTGATAAAAGAACTCCTATGCCAATAATTACAAATCCTATTATACAACACCAACAAGTGTGTCCATGTTTTCAGCAAAACGGTATTACCAATTCTTTTGGTTGCAATGAATGTGTGCTCATTCTGAAACACCGAAAGCCTGCCTTGACCACATTTGAACAATAGCATTGCTGCCTTGTCGGCTCTCTGCATACTTGTAAAACTAAATAAATTTTTGAAAGTTGTTTTCAAAGTACTTGCCATTGATGAGAAAAGGATTCCATGGTTAGTACATATCTGCACACAATAGTCATGCAAAAAACAGAATGCAGATTAGAGCCTTGATCACCATATCTGAACAATCCATGGTTAGTCCTAGCGTATTTACTATTGTTCTTTCTGTTGGCAGGAAGGTACTTGCTTTGAAGGTCAGAACCTAAATGTCACGGCTGCGAGTGTGGCAGACCAGGAAATGGCTCCTGAGATGGATGACTTATCATCTCCAATTGCAATATTACATCAAGAAACTTATTCTGGAACAGAACTGTTTACTCGATTCCCGAGTTATGAACAAGCATCTGCTCCTAATGCACTGCTTCATGAGAAATTATGGTATGACTCGAATGAATGTGTTAGGAAATATAAAAGTTGTGATCCAAAGGGACAATTGGGTGATGAATCTTTTGATTGTGATGGTTCAATGCCAGTAATGGAGATCTTTGATGTCTCTGACCAATTGGACAGCCCAATTATCGGAAAAAGGTCATTTGAGTCCCTACACGATTCTCACCAATTAGGCACCATTTGCTCAGATCCTCCAAACAAGCATAATACTAACACAGCGAGTAGTTTGCATCCGCTATTGACAACTACTATGTCTGGGAAACCCAGAAACTGTCCCCTCTCTGATGATCTACAATACAGTGCTAGTAACAGTCGCAGCGGTATGGACTCCTTCGGATGTGGACTTGATTTGTTTTTTATTTCTGATGGCGTAGCCTCTTGCTCTTCAAATGCTAGCAGCAGACAAGAGATCAATGAAACTCCTTTGACTCCATCTGTTGAAAAGTATAGCCAGAAACTTTCATTAAGATCTGGATCTGGTTCAGAACATATGGGTTCTATTCCTGAACTTGAAGTCTTCCGAATTGATGAAGACAACAGCATTCCGGAAGAAGATGAGTACCAAGACATGGCTCCTGGATCTGTAGATGTGAATTGCTCATGCCAGCGACAATCTGGGGTAACAGCACTTCAGGATATTACTGGATTATGTCAAAACAATGGAAATTCTCCGTCTCATTCGATGAGAAGCATGGATAAAGGTAACATAGACTTGAGTGCAGAATCTGTCAGTAGTGAGCTCACTCATCATTCAAATATCAGAAATGATAGCATTAAGCCAAGATACAATCACTCTACTTCAGTTAAGAGAGAAGGAAAAGTATCCCGTTCTCTTCATGACAGATCAGGTACGAAAGAAATAACCAAAAGCAGAAGTGGAAGACACAGGAGTGAAGCAAATATTGACAAGCAAGGCACGACAGAAATAATCAACAGCAGAAATGGAAGACACAGGAGTGAAGCAAATGTTGACAAACAAGGCACGGCAGAACTACTCAATAGCAAAAATGGAAGACACAGGAGTGAAGCAAATGTTGACAGACAATCTAAGCCTAGCAATATTGTTGCCAATGTGACATCTTTTGTACCTCTTGTAAAACAAAAGTTGCAATCTACAACAGTGTGCGGTAAGTTTTATTTGTTTAATTGTATTATTTATTTCGAATTACATGCTAAATCCACTAATGGTGTTTATAGAAACGGTTAGATGGTGCTCATAACTGGCCTCTACAAATGGGGTTGCTGTCTTGCAGTTAAAAAAGATGTTAAGGTGAAGGCACTCAAGGCAGCTGAAGCTGCAAAACGTCTTGAAGAGAAGAAACAAAAGGAGCAAGAAAAGCGCAAAGCGGCTGCAAAAGCAGAGCGTGAAAGACTGAAGCAAGAGAAGGAACAAAAACAAAAACTTGAAGAGGAACAAAAGAAGAGACGAGAAGTTGATGCGGCCGCTAAGAAGCGGCAGAGGGAAGAAGGGGAAAAAAGGGAAACGATGAAAAGAAGAAAATGCGTGGATGAAGCTCGAAAGCAACAGAAGCAGCCTATGGATAGACAACGAGGCACGAAGGATGAGAAAGATGCTCGTCAAAAAGCTTCTGTGAGTATAAGCTACATATATATACAAGCAGTGGTAGTTACCACCTGATTCTTTGGTCTCCACGTGTCCCTCACCTTACCACCAAACAAACCGTGTGAATGGGCGTATGCTGGGCCATTCTAAACCTGCTAATGCTCGTCCCACGTGAAGAGATACTTAAGATAATTGTTGGCGCTGATTTCTTGGGACGGTAGGTACTCCTAGCTTGGCTGGGTAAAATAAATCATGTGATTTAATCTAATAACAAATGTACGTGCTAGTTCAACCTTCTACTGGATTTTTTTGTCTAGATGGAACAACTTATATAATTTTTATATCTTACTTTGCTTAAATAGGGTAGTATGCACGTACACATCACTTTTGATAGGGTAGTATAGAGTATGATAGTATGGTAGCATAGAGTATGGAGTATGTACGTACATGTCAGTTTAGATAAGGTAGTATGGAGCTGTTTTTTGCGGGCGAGTAGTGCAGAATATATGTTCTTTTTGTAACATGTGTAGAATATATGTTCCTGTAATTCTTATGGAAGGTGGTATGGAGTATGATCTTATGTAGTATTTGCTATGAAGTGCGTATACTTCAAAATTGTGATATTAAATAGGGAGTACATATACTTCTAACTGAAGCTAGCATGAAGTACATATACACACGTCTAATTGTTGTGTCAGAAGGGTAACATCAATAGGAAGAAAATGGCCAGTATGACGTCATGCAATGAATCATTCATAGTTTATATATGTACATTCTACATATGACATTACGACTCAGCCGATAGATGATGGAAACGGAGTAGTATGCTACTCCAGACGCATTGGATGTGATAGCTCGCGAGCTGTCGCAGTCGCCGCAAAACTGAAAGAAAGCAAATTGTTTTCAAGGGACACACAATGTATTATTGGGATGTATAGCACATCTTGACGTTAATCAACGACAATGCCGTTGTGGCGTGGCCACGCGAGGCCAGAGCAGTCGGCCGATGTTGCACCTGCACATTGAGGCCAAGTAAAGTTAGTTGTTGTGCCACACAAAAAAAGGAATAAAGTATTGTCAAAGGGAAGTACGTAGTATGAAGTACATACAAGACAATAGTATGGTGTATTTAACTTAAGTATATTATGTGAAAAACAAGTATGGAGCATGTGGAAAAAGTAGTATAGCATATCATGCTTGCAAGGTCGTTATCATCAGCAAATCGTGATCCACCATGCACCATATCTTCTTTATGTTTCATTACATCTTTTTTTCATGCCTTCATGGTAGTATCCGCTGCTGTCACCGGTGCAGTCACTGTGTCGGATTAACCTGGCATCATAGCCTTTTGATCTACATGAACCAGATGAGAGTTCAAACCTCAAAGTGAAGCGATGTATCATTGGAACATGTAGTAGAAAGAAAGCTCAAGTGCATAGTTTCATGCATATATGCTTTTCGATGCATGCCTAGTAGTAGACGCGCGTAGCACAGACCTGGAGTGAGTTAACAACGTAGCCGCCAGCGCCGACGGCAAATGGTGCCGAGTAACGTGACGCCGACAATCAGTTTGTCTCCGATCTATGGCATCGGCATGGCCAGAACTCTGAATCAAGAAACATCCGTGCATCCAGAGAGAAAGAGTCTGTTAGTCATTTGCTTATCCTAATTTCCGTCCAGATAGATATCCCTAGAATATAGTCAGAGTAGTTCGCCCTTGCGGGTTGGATTTTTTATTGAACCCGCTTCTTTCATGCGCTCCAAAAGGACTACTCATTTTGAGTGGCAAAATTCTCTGGTTGATCATTTGGACTTTGTAATATTAGATATGCGTAGGGCTTTCAAAATGTATGGTTCCCAAGCGTCATATGTGATATATACTCGAACAGAGGGGGTGTTTGTTTTTTGATATTTAATTAATATCATGGCAGGATAATATGGAGCCAAAGAAGAATTTGGTTGATGTAGGCAAAAACCAAGTTAAACCTGATGAGACTACCGAACATGCCCTTCGATACAAGGCCAATGAAAGTAAGGACGAGAAAGGTGTTGCAGTAGATGACAGGAATGCAAGTTTTGGATCTGATGCTAAGGAAAATATCCTGAACAGTCTCGAGGAGGTATGCCTTTTTATTTAACTTAATCATGCAGAATGTTGTCGTCTGTAAATCTGCATATGTTGGTACTACTCATTCATCTTTGATATTGACATGGCTGTTATGTTACATGTCTGCAAATAATAAACAGTTATTGCTAGTCAATATACTTGTATACAGATATACTAATGGAAGTTCTTTTGGAATGGTCACATGATAGTGGCTTCTACTCCATAATGCATGCTCATCAGTTTGTTTACATGCTAAGAGAAGACTTTGGAAGACATGAGTAACGGCACCCTAAATATTTTTCTCTCCATTTGGGGCAATAATTCTTAGAATGCGGCAAAATTGTTAGAACACACAAACATATGCAGCATCACAGTTGGGACAAAGCAAAAAATAGGTTGTCAACCTGAGCTGTTTCGATTTCTTGTTTGACATTAGTATCAGTTTGTAGTGCATTTCATTGTTTCACTCTAGTATCAGCAACCACTCTAATTTTTGAATCCTCTGCTCTGATGTTAATGAAACTCTTGCCAGTCCTACACAATGACTCCTTATAAAGATTCTGATGATGAGGATGATGATGATTACGACGAACATTTGCAAGAAGCAAGGCGCAGAAGGAAATTTGTTCCTTGTTGGGCTCGGTACGTGAACTGACTATGAATTTTGCACATTATTGACAGCAGGATTCTCTGCTTTAATACTGATAAGCATTTCAATGTGAAGGACAAACTGAAAGTATTTTCCACTGTGGTCCTTGAATAAATGGCATACTACCATTTGCTAACTTATTTTTTGAATATATAAAAATGTTTTTTGGGGGTTCCATTTCGCTTGGTATTGCATATTAAGTCGAGCCTATTGATGACATGGTCTTCATGTTCAATTTGCAGAAAAGAAAACTTGGATAGCATCTTACTATCCAATAAAACATTAAACCCCAGAGAAATTTTTGCACGGAAGCTGTCCTTCAACATATCTGAAGGTAACATCCAGTTGAATTTTTTTTTCTGCCAGCAAATTTACTCGTATAATTGCCAGTGTTGACTCCTCCCCGCCTGTTGTGTGCAGTTCTTTCGGCCCGCAGCGCGCCTTAAGATAGGCTTCCGTTCCATTTGATTAAGTAGCGGTAATATGTCATTGCTGTTCTTCTGGCCTCCATTTCGCCTTGGCAGTCTGTGGTGAACATTGCTGACCAGCAATCTCTCTCTTTCGTAACCTGTAAGCTAGGAATGATGTATGTAGGAGAACATTGCTGTACCACTTGACTAGTTACTTACCTAGCATCGATCGTTGCTTGGCCAAGTTGTAGTTTGTTTATAACGGCTCCCGTCACGTTATTATTTGACGGAGATTGAGTATGTATTGGAGTGGCAGCAATGTCCAAGGAGAGTAGGCAGTAGCAGTAAAGTGAGCTCCTGTGTCCGATGAGGAAAGTTGGACTGTTTTGTAGTGGAAATTCCATTTCATTTCATTTGTTTAGTTGGTGTCAATCGCAACTGAGAGGTGGGTATCAGCTGCGAGTTAGTGTAGAGAAGATGACAGTCTGATAGCCCATCGCGTGACTGGAATAGGTCGACAGGCCAGGTACGCTATCAGCCTCAGTGCGCGTCACGAGCTCACGGTTGCGTCACATTGGAGATGCAATCGCATGCTAGTACGAAGGGCGGCCAAACCAAATAGACCTGCTGTTGCCAACCGCCGCACGCCGCCGTCCCCAGACGGCGACCGAAAACAAGACGTCGTCCTCTTACGGCGACCCGTGCTTCCATAGATAGCTGGATCAAGACGGGCACGGCGTGTAAACAGAGCTGCGCGCGAACCTGCACCAGTCGCCACCTGACCGATCGACCCAGGCGCGCTACACTGGGCCGTTGGTTACCTGCAGCGAAAATAGCCGTCCTTGGCACGACCGTGACCCCTCCCAGACGTTCGGTGCACCGTGTACGTCGCTGTTGGAGCACTTGGATTTTGGTGTGACGAAAGATAGAAGACGACAGGGTGGTACAGTATCGCACCATCACTTGATCGGCCGTTCCTCCTTGAGCTGATATTTCTGAAGCTGAAGCCAGGTCCTTGTCGCCGGCTCGCTGCCTGTCTGTGCTCTTGTATCTCTTGTTTCGTGTGCATTCGAGGGGAGGGGTCGATCGTGATGCTGAGGTGAACAGGTCGCGACGAAACGGCGGTGCGGTGCCACCTCTTGGTCATGCTGGTGAACGCATCTCGCTTTCGTGCGCGCCCCCGCCGAGGCGATCAATTTGTTGTTTTCTCCTGTATGGCTGTATGTAGGGTAGAGCGAGCGGGCGGTGCTCCTTAAACCTGGCCCCGTCGACGTGCGGCGTTGTTCTATGTAGTAGGAGTACTATGTTCACCGTACACGTACGTATAGTACATGTGGGGACGCGAGCCAGGAGCACCGTCAGGCTCTTCTTTCCAGAGATGTCAACACCAGCAGGCACCAGGCAGCGTAAGGAAATGAAAGCTTTGCATGCGAATGAACGCACGCACCTTGGCGGATCCGCACACGGTGATTCTCCGGATCTGGCCGGGAGAAACGGGCCCGGACGGTGGAGCTGTCTCTCTGACATGTGTGTTGTGTGGGACTCCAGTTGGCTCCCTCTCCTCTTCATAACGGGAGGTCTCGTTAGATCGGCCAACCGTTGTACAAACTGCGGCAATGGCACGGTTACAGGCTTACAGGTTACAGCAACCGCAGCAGGTAGTCCTAGACCGAGACGAGCATATTTTGGATGCATGGACCAGGCAAAGAGTAACAGCGAGTAGGAGTCGCGTTGCATTAAACTCGCTCCCTGCTAGCAAAGAGTAACAGCGAGCATATTCTGGTGACTTGCCTGTTGGGTGAGCCGAAGAATCGCCGGCCGCACTCACTGCACCGTGGGGTCGGGCATGTCGGTGGATCTTACTGGACCAGTCCCGACGCATGGTAACCGTGGCGCATGCGACGGAACAGAGCAGCATGGGTGTGTGCTTTCGAGGTTGAGAAGCACGGGTGTCTGTCTCTCAGACAAAGCATGGATGAGCGGTAAACACTACTATAGTTTAACCATCGCAAAAAAGAAAAAAGTTTAACCATCGCAAGTCATAAGTGACATGTGCTAAGTAGACTATCACTAGCTATAACTGATAGACGATAGATAGTACATAAACTTGAGTTCACAACACCTCGTTGCTAACGACAAGGGTTAAACTAGACGACCAAGACGAGAGAAATGACTCTTCTCATCTCAACTTGGCTCCTCTACGGCTGTATCTCGCCCATGACTCGGCCACGACCTCCGGCACCACCTTCCTCTCGGCCAAGGAGGACATCACCTTCGCCCTCGTCACCTTCTTCACCAGGAGCCGCCACGTCTTGTCCGCCTTCCCCGTCTGCGCCTTGGCCTTGAAATGGCTGCGAAAATCAGCCAACCACGGTGAAACGTTAGATCTCACTTCGTCACCAGACGTAAAAAAACAGCTATTAGGCGTGCGTCAGATCCGTCATGTGCGTTTGCATGGCGCTCTATTGGCGGCGTTCCCGTGGCCGTCCAAGTCGCTTTCATGCAAGAGGACGAAAGCCAGTACGTCCAATTTCTTCCTTGTATATTGTCAAGTACGAACCGATTTCCTTTCGCGGAAAGGGCGCCGGGCACCGATCGATCTCGCCAGCCTGGTTCTTGGCTGCCGATCTACCGCGCGTTTGCGGAAAGCGCCACGTTTGATGGAAAGCGTGTTTCTCCCGAATGCGTTTTCTCACCTGCAGAGCGGCACGCGGCAGGCCCGGTCCGGCCGGTCGCAGACGGAGGCGTGGAGCCGGAAGAGCTGCAGCATGCGCTTGCACCGCGCGCACCCACCGGGCGCCATCTTTTTCGGGCACGTCGCGAAGTGCCGCATCAGCACCTGCAGGCCCCGGCACGTGCACCCTGCCCTCGCGCACGGCGCGTCCGCGTCCGCGCAGCCGGCCTTGGCGCCGGAGTCGCCGGGGAAGATGTGCTCGAGGGAGGCCATGGCCTCGCCCAGCTGCCGGCACGCCTCCTGCGCGGCCCGCTCGCGCGCCCACCGCTCATTCCGCTGGTCGGCGTCCTCGAGGAGCGTGAGGAGCTCGAGCTCCAGCGCGGCGTCGTGGCGCCGCGCGAAGCGCCACCCGTCGGACTGCTCCACGGAGGCGAACTCCTTGGCCGCGAGGCGCGCGCACCGCATGTACAGCCGCGGCGCGTCGCAGAGCCTCGCCAGCTTCAGCATGTCCACGGCGCGCTCCGGCGTCAGGCGCGCCGACACGGCCGCCTCCGCCGCCCGCTTCAGCCACCCCACCCGGTACGCGTGCGCCAGCGCCAGCAGCTGCGCCCAGTTGGCGCCCACCGCCTCCTCCTCCGCGGGCACCACCTTGGACTTGGAGGAGTAGAGGAAGTGGATGAAGGCGTGGACGGCGTCGAAGGAGACGCCGAGGACGGGGATGGTGCACTCGGCGCCCCACCCGCGCTGCGCCCTGTCGATCATCCGCTCCAGCACCGGCGACGCCGAGGCCTGCATATCGCCGCCCGATTTGGAATTAGCCAACGATTCAACAACAACGCACAAGGCAAGATCCACCGCATAAATCAATCAAATAAGCGGCAGAGCGGCTTACAAGAACGTAGGAATGCGCGGCGATGCTCTGCCCGTCCGACGTCACGACTCGCATGTCCGCCGGCGACGCCCGGTAGGAATCGAAGCCCGCGCAGATCGTCATAGAATGATCGCTTCCAAACTCCAGCTAGCTAGTCCCCTCGTGAAGCCCCCGGATTCTCCTGGTGTCAACAAGGGCAACGGGATGCGTAGCGAAGCACCAAAGCGCCGAGAAACCCAAGAAACGGAGCAGATGGATCTCGGGGCGATGTGGAAAGAGAATGAGAGGAAGTCTCGAGCTCAGCGACAGCTATATAGTGTCGTGGACAAAGGTAGCCGACGACGACGTGTAGCACAGTGCGTGCACAGCTATCGTCAACTGAGGGCAACGGGAACAACGGGACGGGATGATCATTGGGAGCGGGCCGCGTTGTTCTGGACGGACGGAAATACTAATTAGCTAATCGCCGTTGATGCGTCGAGGCTGATGAGGATTTGACTCCAGAGGAGAGGATCTGAGTCAGAGAGGTGATCTCGGGGGCCGCCGACGGAGGGAAACCACCGGCAGTGGTTGAAGCAGGCGGAGCCGACGACCCCGATCGGACCACGTAGGCGCTTCGTGCGCCACCAGTTTAGGTGCGGAAAAGGGAACGGAGCTGTTGGGCGTTGGCGGCGTTTTGTTACTTTTTGGGTGTGGAGTTCAATTTTTTTAAAGGTTTTGGGTGTGGAGTTGATGACACGGATCCACGTTTTGTTTCTTCATATTTAATTTGTTTATAAGGATTCATTCATACCAAACGCGGTATTGATCGGAATTCGGAAGCTGTTAATTGTTATTGCCAACTTTCTTGGAGACGGAACTTTATCTTCATACTACATACGCAGACGTGATTGCGCAATGTTTTCTTTTCTCAGGCCACATGCTAATGCGTTTAAATACGATACTTGTATAGTGTTGGTATATTATGGCCTAGTGTAACTTTTGAGATGTTAATAATAGTGGGGCCCATCTTTTCTTTGGTACTCCTCTATACGGCAATAGCTGGCGAACGTTCCCAGGAAGGCACTCCCGGAGCGAACGAAACGTTAGTTGGGGAAGGCTCCATCCACCGAACCGGCATCCCTCTGTCGTATATTCGCTGTAGTGCGATTGTAGCATGACCACAGTTTGGCCCATGTATTGCACATGAAAAAAAGGCAGGCTCAATTAGTTCATTTTTTGGAAAAAAAATGCCATCAACAAAAAAAAAACATAAAATAAGATAAATGGGCTTTGCTAGACCTACGTAAATTTTGGTACAAAAGTTTCTTTTAACCGAATTTTGGTACAAAAGTTACTAAAGGGTGATGTGGGCTGGTTTGATA